AAAGAACCGATCGCTCTTCCGCAATCAAATCGCCTGTGATTTCCCAATCGGATCCTCCAGAAAGGTTCATCTAAATAAAACCATGGCCAAGATGGATATCGAAGCAATAAAGGATATAATTTTCGGGGCCCAAAGACAATTAGTGTCTCGAAACAACATTCTAAATTATTCAAAAGCCCGAAACCAGCCTATTATCATATTTAAGTAATTCGAATAGGGAGCCCGATCCGAGCCCGGAATTGAATACGATATTTTCCTAACGCTATGTCTAGTTTTCCTTATTTTAATCTATGGGTTTTGGTTTTGTTGGAATAATGATTTGGTAATTGGCACTTCAAAGTGTTTTATTTAGAGTAGTCCTTGTTAATCTTCCAATCGCACGGCTGGAAAATCCAATATTGCGCAAAAGTGTGACTTGAGTGGAAAACAATAATCTCACGTGAAACAGTTGGAGAGTATTTTCTAGTATTGTAATTCTCGTTTTGTTGTTGTTGATCGTAATGTTCCGCTAGGTAACACGCCACAAAGCTCCGGATAGTACATCTCTAATTTTAACCATGTTTACCTTCTAAGCGTATATTTTACTTGGCTGACATGAAAATTTCAAGGTTTTATTTTTTTTGTGAAATCCTCCACATAGGTTATATGTATATTTCACATAATTTAGTGGATATCGCAAGGATATTTGCGGATCGTCTTTGGTTGCCGGCTTGGGTTATTTGCTCGAGATTAGATACCTATGTCAATGTTGAATATTGGTCGAGAAATGAATCCAATTTCGGCTCAGTGCCGTAAAAATTGTTGTCGAATTTTAAGCAACAACATCCCGTTGTCACTACTTAAGTGCATGTCTCCTTTTTAACTAATTTAGCTAGATTGAGCAGCTGTTACATCAATTGTCTTAGATTGGCTTTGGCCAAGCGCAGGGGTCAACCCGAAACCAGACTCCTTTTATTACAGTTTCTCTATACAGGGTGTCCCACGGGGAGCCCTATACCGGGTGATTCAAAATTGGCGTCATTCCTCTGGAGGTGTTGTCTGGCGGTGTTTTAGGACTACAGAACAAATAGCAGAAAAAAATTAATTGTTATTAAAAACTGAGAAATTGGCAAAAAACTTTATTAGAAAAACGGCAACAATTTTTTCAAGGTAATCTGCCTAATTAACATTACGGAAATACCTGTTGCTTCAAAATTATTTAAAACTCCGGTAACTATGGATAAATAGAGAAAGTGACAATAAGATAGACAAGGATAAACGGTAAATTCAACAGGAATCGTTGAATGACGGAACCTATTTCGAAATTCATAACCTCGAATTATGGATTTGTTTACAAATTACAAAAACATACATTTGAGTCTGTAACTCCAAGCAAGTGCCTGTGTAATCACCTTATTATGCACTCTTCTCGAGCAGCTCCGCGTATTCGGTTAATTAACTCCTGCTCAATTTATACCGGTGTTCAGTAATCCATTGGTTTAATGTGATCTTACATACGTGGTAGGAATTTAGCCGGTATTTATTTGGTGCCTGGGAAAGAGTCAGTGGTTATGCAATGTTCTGAGTGCCCCTGGAAGGCTCTGCTGCAATTATGTCCAATACTTGTTTTTCTGTGTCTGGAACCCGAACATCAATTGTCGTCCACTATCTTCTTAGAACCACTCTCCTCGCCCTTTGTTGACGTGAGTTCTTCTAGCTTCTGCTATGTTACTGTAGCATTTCCCCTGAACCATTGACAAAAGCCATCTACCTCTAACTATCAGTTAATGAGAAAACATCATTGGCGCTTTGACTTTTCATCAAAAAATTGCAGAAGAGAACTTGAATTCTTAAGTATTCCAATATGCTTCCAATTAAACATGGAACACTTTCAAAATAATGCTTAATAACAAACTTGAAATTCGATTTTCAACTGTTAATATTTTCTAGAAATTATCGAAAAAACAAATTTCAATTTGTCGTACTTTCCAAGTGAGCCCCTATTAACCCTTAAAAGGAATGACGACAATTTTAAATCACCCTGTATATCGCAAACTATTTTGAATCATCCTATAACTACCTATGGGAGCGCTGCGAAACGTCAAATTACTCCTTGCCGAGTGACAGTTGACACTTGTCAGACTTGTCTATCTATTGGAGTTGGTAAACAAGCGCAAAGTGAGAGTTACAATTGGAACAAAAATGAATGTGAATCCATGAATGAATTGAATGAAAAGCTTGCAAAAGCTAATTAGAACAAAACAAAACAAATTATCAATGTGACACCAGTGTCAACAAAACAAATGTCAAATTACTAGTTAACTTGTAGTTATAATTTTAACTACCAGGGAGCGTTTGGACTTTTGAACCTTGGGGGATTCTATTTGGAAAAAATGGTTCTGGGCGGTTTTAGAAATTTCATTTTTTAACCCTGCACCAACACCAACAGTTATGAAAGTGAGCCGTTTTCATCAAGAAATGCGACTCGAATTAAGTATACACGTTTTCCTTATAGAAAAAAATTGGCAATAGTTTTCAAATAAACTGTTCAACAATTATGCAGTTCAGCAATTTATTCAATAAATCATTGGCAAATGGCGAGCTTCCAAACACTTTAGAGGAAGACGATATTTTGTTATCGCTGCATCCAAAGGAACAAACTGGGCAAACACAGGCCGTGAAAAAAGAGAAAGTTGCCTTTTTTCTTCCGGCCTTATCTGCAGCTCATCCACAGCGGAAACCTTCATTTATTGCCCTCCCAAAAAATACATTTTCTGGAGAATGAAACCCACTTAAGCTACCTTGAGAAGAAGCTTCATATTCCAGACATTCACACCTCCAACTAAACTGCTCAACTAATTGAACGTTGCAGCGCCAAATGTGCACCAACTTAGGAACTGGATAAATTCTGAGTGCTTAGAGCGATTTTATTTCTGTTTGAAGCGTATTTTAGAGCAATTGTTTTCGTTACTGCGTGTTTTTGCGAAAAAATGGATAAAAAACCGTTTTTTTTTAATATTTTAACCCCAGATGCATTAAGATGAATCGCATATCTCAAAAAAAGTTTTCGAATTTTTCGCAAATTTCGTTTATTTACAGTGTGGACTCAAAAAATAAACATTTTGGTTTTGCAGTAATAATTTTTTTTCTTGAAAACCAAGCACTTATGTGGAACCAAAAAGGACTATAGGAATTAAAGAAACATTTTAAAGTAAACTTCACTCTAGCTCTGTTAGAATAGATTTCGAAAGCGATTCTGATTTGCTTAATTTTTTATGCAACCCTCTCTATCGGATGTTCGTTTTCGGTTATCTACGAAGTTTTGGCTTTAACCAGATCGTCAAAATCGGACCAAGAGCAGAAAAGTTGTCGCTGCAAGACCAGAAAGTTGATTTTTTGAGACCACGGTGTACATAGAAAAGATGGTCTAAGAATTAAAAAACCGTTTCGAGCTATTTGGTTTATCTTTGAACTTTTGGTGTTGATATCAAAAAAACTTTCTTTTTGTCTAACTAGGAGCAGACCGTATTTTTCAAAATTTTGCATTTTTTCATTTGCCACCCTGTAGAAAATTTGTCTGAGATGCTGAAGTTTTATCAAAACATTGGCTAACAGAAGACGAATGAGGCTCAATAACGCTTCAAACAGACCAAATCGCTTCAAAAAATCAGAATTTATCCAGTTCCAAAGTTGGGACAAATTTGGATATGTAACGTTCATTTGTTCAGCAGTTTAAATCCAAAACGGCTGGACTTAGGTATACGGGGTGTCAATTTAATATCTTTCTTGCAGTTGAAAATATGAAAAATCGGAAAAACCCGAAAATTTTATTTGTAAGGAGGACACTTTAAATTAATTATTTTTAGCCACCTTGTTTCAACCCTCTAGGAGGGGTAGATGTCACCCTTGGAATCTTAAATGGAAATGGGGGTCAAGTGGTACATCCTTTTAAAGGGCGTTCAATTATCTTCACGCTGGTTACTACTTTGTTGCCTTTTGTCCAGAGGTTTCCGAATAATCACGCTTCAAAGATGTAGAAACAATTAAACTTGCCTGCATTCACATCTTGGTTTTCAGCTTAGTGTTTACCCAAATGCGATTGTATTGGGTCTCCTTGTAATACAAATGATTAGAAGAGTAGGTTACACTGTTAAAATCGTTGAATAACAAGAAGAAACTTTAGTTTAAACATTGATTTATTATTTTTGATTCTGATCTTATTTATTGATTATTTTACATCGACAAAAATAACTTTTTATTTGCGGAAGAGAAAATTCTTCAATAAAACCTATGTCATCCACTTACACACTATCTTATAAGTTGTTCAAGTATTGTCAATGTTTCTGAAAACAATAATAAGGTCTGTTTTTGAACTATTCCCTAACATTTCGGAAAACTTTACCGGGAATTAACCGGCATTCTGCTGCAATTCGCCGTTTAAGATCATCAATAGCAGCAGGTTGTGTTTTATATACAATGGACTTAAGATGTCCCCAAACAAAGAAGTCTAAGGGTGTTCAATCCGGTGATCTTCGAGGCCATTCCAAATCCGGGAATATATTATCATGTTAAGGAGAGTTTGAAAATAGACTTTATTATGGCTTACAGGAAAATAGACAACATTTTGAACCATTTATAAGATAATGGGTAAGTAGATCCCATGGGTTTCATTGTAGAATTTCTCTTTCGTAAATAAAAAGTTATTTTTCTTGAAGTAAAATAATCAATAAATCTGAAATTAATTGTTTATAGTAGATTTTCTTTTTCGTCGCTTGCCCCCAATGACTTCGGTACACTGTCGAATTTTCAAATTTCTGTATAAGGTTTCCGTGGGAAAAGTATCCAACATTATCCTTGACTACAAATATGGAATTGGAAAAGTACTACTTAGTATACAAAAACAATAGTTGAGAACAACAAACAAACATACTTAACGTACAAGTACCCTGTTTATGCATTGTTTGTGTTTTTCCTAATAAATACTTCATCCTTAGCGCTTGACATAGTTGAGATATTCGGGCATTTTTGAGCCATATTATCACACTTTTGGATTACTCTCAAGTACCCCGATGTGGTATATAAAAGAGTGCAACATTGCCATACTAACAGCATAGTTTGTACATTTTAGGAACGCGAGAGTTCGACTAATTTAAATGAAGCTGTTTGGCATCGCCTTGGTTGCAACCCTTGGTTGCTTCCTACCAGAAAGGTATTTAGTAACGCCCCATAAACGTACATTTTTTGCACCAAGACGTTTTTCAGTAAGGGAGAGGGCCCTCTTGGTAGCCATGCCCATCTCTTCAGTGACGAAGTAAGCAACATTGCCTTCCCCGAGGGATTCATGTGGGGATACGCCTCGGCTGCTTACCAAGTCGAAGGCGCCTGGGACGAGGATGGAAAAGGCAAGTCGATCTTAACAAGCCAACAATCAACAGAATTGATATAAATGAGCCAATTCGTTTTAGGAGAAGGTATTTGGGACTACGATGCTCACAATCACGCCGATTGGTTTCCCGAGGGCCAAAATGGCGATATAGCTTGTGATGCGTATCACAACACGGACGTGGACGTTGGTGAGACCATTTTATAATTATTTATTAATTTTTTTATTTTAAATATTTAACTTCCGCTCAGGTCTACTAGTGAGACAAGGCGTCAACACCTACAGATTTTCCATCGCGTGGTCCAGAGTTTTGCCCACCGGCCACATTGACAACATCAACGAGAAAGGTTGGCAAGCCACCAATTTATCCGACATCGGTTCTCAACTTCACTTGCTCTCAACTGCTTTCAGGGCTCGAGTACTACCGCGACCTCATCCAGAAACTGAGAGCCAATAACATTGAGCCTTTGGTCACAATGCACCACTGGGACAATCCCCGAGCCATCGAGGACGAGGGCGGCTTCTTGAACGATGTAGGCTGGATCATTTTTCTGGTTTTTCTACTATTCTATTTCGGACGGTTTTCCAGGACATTGTCCCCACTTTCGTGGAATATGCAAATCTGCTCTTCGAGAACTTTGGCGAAGACGTCAAGTGGTGGACCACTTTCAACGAGCCCAAGCAAACTTGTGCGGGCGGATACGACAGTGGCTACATTTCTCCCCAGAATCTTCATCCAGGCACTGGCGGCTACAAATGCGCCCACAACCTCCTCAAGGCGCACGCCAAAGTCTACAGACTGTACGAGCAAAAGTACAAGCCAACGCAAAACGGGAAAATCGGTATGGTTATTGACGAGTCTTGGATGGAACCTGCATCTAACTCGACCGAAGATATTGAGGCCGCTGAGCGGGCTAGTTTGATGACGGTAAGTCCTTCTTCATCTGATTGAGATTGGGATTTTTGCCAATTATCCCGTTATTTGGTCCAGTACGGCTGGTATGCTCACCCGATTGTTTACGGAGACTATTCGGAAGTGATGAGGCAAAGAGTGGATGAGCGCAGCGCCCTCCAAGGCTACAGCGAGTCCAGACTTCCTGTGTTCACCGACGAGGAAAAAGAAGAACTTCGAGGTGAGAAGAGCGGAAACGAACCAGCGAGGCAAGCGACAACATCTTTTTTTCAGGAAGCTACGATTATCTAGCTGTTAACATGTACACCACCGTGCTGGTGGCCCACCAAGAGGACGCTCCAATCGAGGAAGTGAGTTTGGCCTCCGACCTTTCAGTCTACACCTACCAGCCAGACGATTGGGAAAAGACTGTTACCGATTGGTTCAAAGTGGTGCCTTGGGGTGCACGCCATTTGGTGCGCTGGATCCGAGACACTTACGGCGACGAGAAGGGCATCATCGTTACAGAAAATGGATACCACGACTCTGGAAATGAAATGGACGATCTGGAAACCAGAGGGCGATACCATAAGGTACTGATTGCCAGCCTGCAACCCATCGAACGGTTTATATTTGGGCTTGTTTCGTTCTCAGCTGTACCTCAGCAACCTGAACGACGTCATCTACCAAGACGGAGTAAACCTGATCGGTTATGTGGCCTGGAGTTTGATGAATGACGTCGAGTGGTACGCTGGATGGCTGTGAGTACCCAAACTGCTCTGGGTTGCTTGCTCTAACCAGCGTCGGTTTGTTTCAGAGTGAATCTGGGCCACTACCACGTGGACTTTGACAGTCCAGAGCGCACGAGGACTCCCAAAGCGTCTGCCGAATATTTCCGAAAGGTCGTCACCACCAACTGTCTAGTGGACTCGTGCGAGCCAACAACCAAGAAAATCCGCCTGTAAGATTTGCTTTTAATAAATAGATTTTCCTGAGTTGGTGTTGAAATTCATGTGATATTCCCAAGCCCGCATTGGCATTCAACGCAAGCTTATATCGTTGTTGGTTGTTTCGTCTGAAGTCAATATACGCCTCGGCCATAAATAATGCAGCCTGGGACTGGCCGAAGGCAGGCTCAAACGCCATAAAGCCATTGCTGTTCAATTCGTGGTTGCTACTGACCAAATTGTTTTTGGTTTTTGATGCGGCAAAAGAAACCAAGCGACGTCCAGAATGCAATTCGGAACCAAAGTTTGAAAAAGTTGAAGACAAACAAGCCCAACCTCAAGTGATAAACGCCCAGTTTATTGCGTTTCCGTAGCCTTTCACTTCTGTTCGATAAGTTTATTTAAATATGCGGTTCATGGCAGGTTACCAACAATGACAACTTGAAATTACCGTGTTCGATTAATCATAGTTTTTATCAATTCCTCGTTGTTTTTTTGTGCGCGCGCTCGCTTAATCAATGACAACAATGGATGACGATTGGTGTTATACATGGTGCTGCGCCAACTTCATATACGCAGAAGTTTTGTCTTGAATGTCACCTAGTTAAGACCCGAGCATTTGCAAAAGAGGAATGGAAGGGGTTAGAAGCAAAACCGCCTAAGTCACAAAGGGTTTATTTAGGAAAATAAATCATCAAAGTTTTCTTACTGTGGAAACTTCTTAGCTTAGAAGTTCAATCAGTTTATGTTAAGGACCGATTCAAGTTAAGTACAAAAACCGGACTACTTACCATTCAATAAATAAAAAACGGGTTTTTAAAGACATTTTTGAACAAACAAGTACTTGGGTTGTTTTGCCTTTGAATTAACACAAATTATCAAAAAATAAAAATAAAAAACGACAAAGCGAACAGAAATGAATGTTTAGCAATACAACAACTAAATCTACTCGTAATCTGACAACCAATTCATGTAATTATTATCTTGTTCTTCGTTATTATTATTATTTTGTTTGCTGATCGTTTGCTCTTCTATTTGAGCATTTTTCTGACTGAAAAAATGGAAAGTCCTCAACCAAGGGTTTTTTAAAGGAAACTGATGTGTTTGGCTTTTATTGTAACGGGTTATCCATTTTATGCTTGGGAAAGTACAGTAAAAAACACACAACATATTCAGATGAAGACGAAAATTTTAATTGAATATAAAGATTAAACCTTGCCATTATACGTAAAAAACAATATCATTTAAATATCCTCCACGGGACCTCCTACATGCCTCAATCCTTTTGAGGTAATTTTGAACGACTTTTCTGCACATTACCGGTAATATCTCGGTCATAACTTCACGGATATTGGCTTTCAGTTGCTCAAGAGTTTGAGGATTGTTGGCGTAAACACGATCTTTCGCATAGCCCCACAAAAATAAATCTAACGGTGTTAAGTCGCAGGATCTTGCAGGCCAATTGACATCACTCAATCTCGAAATTACCAGTCCTAGAAATTTCTCTAGCAACGCATAACGCTGAGAATTGACTGTTATGGCTCTTCATTGATCGTGTTAAAAAAAAATACGGGCCAATTACACCACCGGACCATACGGTCACTTTTTCAGAATGCAAAGGCCTTTCTGCGATCACCTGAGGATTTTGACAGAAACTAAAAACAAAACAAAAACTAAAACAAAAACGCTTCGAATGACGTTTACCTTTGACAGATATCAAATAGCTAGGTTTTACTTTCCCAGCCTCGAATTGGAAAACCCGTTATAAAAACCATCTTATGTCTCCATTTTATAATTTGACTTTGTGTGTCCTTGCTTGGATCCTTAAGATGCTTATGTCTGAATTGGAAAAAAACTTGTTTGTAAGTTATAAGTTGGTAAACTGTGCAACTTTTTGGTATCTGCATGTGTGTTCATAGTCCCGACCGATTTTCTACATTTCACATTTTTTTCCAATTTATTAATATCACCGGATGTGCGAAATTAGATTAATTAGATTTGGAATTTTCTATTAGTTTTCTGAAGGGTGTCAATATAGGTCAATATAGCCTGACTTTCAGCTGTCAAATTGACAAACTGCCGCAATACTATCGGTCTCAAAAACAGTTAAAAATTCTACTAAAAACGTGTGGGAAAAGCCGAAAATTAGTAAATCTTAAAGTGACAGTGATTTAGAAGTGGAAATGGATGGAATCTCACTAGAATTCAGCGAGGTGGGCAAACTAAAAATATCGAAAAACGTATACATACATCTTTCACTATTTGCCGCGGTATTTTTTTTACAATTATTATTGCCTAAGGGAGAAAAATACGACGTCTCACTAGGGAAATTGAGGAAATTATGGTGACTTCAAGTGTCACAATATTTGTTAGCCTGACGTTCAGTTGTCAAACTGCGGCGATACGATTCATCGGTCTCCAAAAAAACGGTTAAAGTTTCTACTAAAAAGGTATGATAAAAGCCGAAAATTAGTGAATCTTAAAGTGACATTGATTTAGAAGTGGAAATGGATGGAATCTCACTTGAACTCAGCGAGGTGGGCAAACTAAAAATATTGAAAACTACTAGGTAGGTAACTTTTTTACTATTATTATTGCTCAAGAAAGAAAAATACGACTTCTCACTAGGGAAATTGAGTAAATAATGGTGACTTCTCAGGTTAGTACTAAAAAAATGCAGTAACCGTCTACTTCCTGATGTCGGCAAAAAGAGACTCAGGTGTGGTGTAAAATGTTAAACCCACGAGTCGGTTTTTTCTTCGTGAGCGACATTGACAATCCAAAGCGCGACAAAAACATTTATCGATATAACTATGTGGCTGCGGTGGCTGCAGTAAAAAACGGCTGTTTTAAATTAACTGAATTAACATACAAAAGCCATTCAAGTTAAAGGGCACTTTTGATCACTTCACTGCCAGTACAATGGCAACATATTAATTGACGATCACAGTGCGCAGTCTTTCTGCTAAGCTTGCCCAAATTTCAATCAATTCGCCATTACCGTAGCAATTCCCACGCTAAACACCCACTACCCCCATGGCCCTAGTTTTGGTCGAGTACATTTCAACGGGGATGGGGTGTGATAACTATGTGGGCCGATAACAGCCAGTTAATCTGCTAAACAGGCGTAGTTCCTCCAACAATCATAGGTGGGTCGATTTGAAAGAAAAATCATCTAGCTTCACCCTAACACCAGCTCGATCGTCCATCTAAACATTTAAGTTCCAGAGGAACCAAGACGGCCTCAAACCTGTAGGATTTTTATTTATTCATTGAGGGGTGGCTCAAGAGCCGACTTATTAACAGACCGGCATTTACCCGCATGTCGGCAAACACATCGAGGGTGGTTCTAAAGCATGACCCGTATGTAATGTTATGGCCATATTGTTCGCGACCAGGGACGGGCTGGGGATGACTGTCCGTGGACCCCATCAAGCAGTCTAGAAACACATTTAGCTATAAGTGAATGTGTAGGTAAGCGCCAGTCCGGTTCTGCACAAACACAACACATCCAACCATGGGATTTTGAATTTGCCTGGTCGCGTGTATTGCTAACGTGATTATATTCCCCGTCGCGCCTTGGGTTTTAATGGGATCTATTAGTTATGTTATCCATAGGGGAGCCATAAAGCCGATGGTAACACTTATGTTTTTTAAATCAGTTAAAAATTACACATCGTCGCTTAAGGGCGCTTCTTTCATTGTGTGAGAATGGGGTTCATGCACCATTCGAAAACTGAAAAATGCTTTTGGATGCGGAAAAAGTGAACGAAGAGCATTCTTAGATCAAGGCTGTCGATAAACGATGTCGCCTCCTTGTCGAAGGTTTCGATTTCTTCTCCTGGGCGTTTCTTTTGGGGGATGTTACATAATCTCAAGGATACGGTACCATCACCTTCGGTTAAAAATACCATCGACGTGCTTTCACTATCACTTGGCCCGGCTGCTTTTTGCTAAATAAATTAGTTTAAACTTTCACTTCAGCGCCGACAATTTATGTAAGATTCGTTAGCAAAATGATGACTTAATGGATATTAGTCAAATTTTGAGCCAGAAAGCTACAAACAATTGGAAAACCAAAATCAAGTGATCACAAGCGATATCCTGTTTCGAAAATTTGGGTTGTAAATTAACTGATTATCATCACTGGTACTGAATAATGTAGGAAAATACATTGTATACCTACCTATACCCTTTAAATATTAATTTCTCTTATTTGAATTGTACATGGAAGCACCGGAAAGATGCGTAATACGTAAACACTAGTGCCGTTGCCAAGTTTTTTTTTCAGTTTTTATTCGTTTTGCACATTTTTCCAATTTATTTTTACAAGGAATTAATTAGTTGGGCTGCAACAAAAAGGTTTATTCATCATTACAATCGGTGTCACGGTCCTCGATTTGGTTTCACTCCTTTACGCGACCAAATCACTTTCTCCTTTAAGTGAAATGTGCGCAAATTTACATTTACAATGCATTTTTAAGTGTAACTGCCAATGTAAGTAAGCACCGGGTTTAACTAGATCTCCACTCTAAGCAGGGCTAGAAAGAGATGCGGGTACTCCTGTTTACAACAACAACGACATTTTCTGTTGAGTACGAGAGAATTTCTAATAATTATGGCATTTATTGTTAGACGGAAGTACACTTCGTATGCGCCCTTTCTTATTTAGTGACTTCACTATTACCAGCAGAGATGCCAGGTGTACCGATTTTTCGGTAGATCTACCGATTTGTCAAGGAACCTACCGATCTACAGATACCATGCAGATTTCTACCCAAAAGTAACAAATAAAAGTTAAAAAAATGTCCGTGGATTACTTAAAATAAAATAACATATTTCCATTCATGATCAAAGTACGTTGGTTATGGCAGACATTTTATTTTAGCACATCTCGTATTTTAGAGTTCTTTTTCAAACATAAAATGAGTCAAGCCCGCCATATAGATCATAAATATGATAAAATTATGTTTTATGGATCCTGCAATAGTGAAATCAGGTTCCCTACAATCTATTTCTGATGTTGCAATGATTTCTAAATTTAATAA